TTGAGATTCCAAAGAGACCCCAACAGTAGACTGATCACAGAGATAGAGATTTTCCAACTGAGATTCCATCTCTAATGCACTAATTGAAAATTGGGATGGAACTGGAACTTAAGTTTCAAGTACTGGGATGAGAATGGGACTTGATTTAAAGAGATTGAGATTATTTAATTAGAAATGGAGATTCTCAATTTTCCTAAACTTAAAATAAAATCTTATTTTATACTATCTTTAGTACCAAAATCATGTATAAATGTATATATGCATTTTGACTCAATGTGCCAATTTTTCTATTTTGTCATATTTTGGTGTAAAAATACACTTTCAAAATAAGATTTGAAAGAAAATTAAAGTTGTTTTAGAAATAGAGAAATCTAGAAATGAGACATAACATAGAAAATTTAAAACTGAAAAGAAAATGAAATCATTATTCATATTTTAGAATGAAATTGAAACTAATTTTTAAATTTTGAGAAAGAATTGAAATCAACTCAATTGAAATTAACATTCAGTCTTATCTCATTGAAATCTCAAAGAGACTTCAATGGTCAGTCTACTCAATAGTCAGTCTAGTTAAAATATAATATTAATTCTTTTATACTTTAATAAATATTTATTTAATTTTAACAGATGATGAAGAACATCTTTCAAGAATTATAAGTTTATAACTTTATTTAAAAGAAATTTTTATTAACACAAAACTATGAAAATTAATCTGTAAAGTGTAAACTGAGCTAGGCTGACCACAGAGACAGAGATTTTTCAATTGAAATCCCATCTCTTATGCACTAATAGAAAATTGAGATGGAACCAAGACTTAATAGTTCAAACTGAGATGAAACTGAGACTTGAGTTTCAAATACTGAAACTTAATTTAAAGACATTGAGATTATTCAATTAAAGATAAATATTTTCATTTTTCCTAAACTTAAAATAAAATCTTATTTTATACTATTTTTAGTATCAAAATCATATATAAATGTATATATGCATTTTGACTTAATGTGTCAATTTTTCAATTTTGTCATATTTTGATGTAAAAATACACTTTCAAAATAAAGTTTGAGAAAAAATTAAAGTTGTTTTAGAGATAGAGAAATTTAGAAATGAAACTTAAAATATAAAATTTGAAACTGAGAAGAGAATGGAACTTTTATTCATATTTTGAACTGAAATTGAGACCAACTTTCAAATTTTGAGAAGAGATTGAGATTAACTGAATTGAGTTTGACTTTCAGTCTTGTTTCATTGAAATCTCAAAGAAATTCCAATAGTGAGTCCAGTCAGAATATACTGAATTCTAACTATTAATTAAATAAGAAACTATTTACTGAAAGTTGAACTTAAAAATATTTAAAAATTGATTCAATTGAAATAAAGAAAAATAATATGTAATCATTTTACTAAATGATTCTGAATAAAAAAGCAAGATTTCAAAGATAAATAACTAATTTAAGTATTTAAGATTTAATAAAAATAACTATAAAAGTATTCTGTTGATAAAATATGAACTGCATGAAGAGTAAACACTTAAAAATGTTGAGCAGACTGTTTTAAACATTCAAAATTTCACTAAGTTTAATATCTAATCAGAGAATTCTAACAAATTGTAAAAAATCAGCTCAGATCTTTTACAAAATGTGGCAGAAATTATCTGTAAGGATCTAGCTTCAAAGCTTATAACTATGTTACACTACATTGGGCCTAGCCCATTTCTGACTCATTCAAAGTGGAAGATCTGACAGTATGAGACAGTGAGGCAACTCAATCACTAACATAATTTCTCATCAAACATTCAATCTCACCCAACAACTGCTTCTTATGAAATTACCACTACACCTTCAAAATACAATTTTTCAACAATGTCATGCCCACTGTAGGCTAGGCCTGCCCTAAGAGCTAGTATCTTATTAGTTAGCATAGCCCTAATCTCACTAGTACTTAAAGCCACATCAGTCTTCTCCCACAGAAGGTCAGTGATGAGTTCTTCTCTTACTGTGCATATAGCAATACTACTTTGATACTATAAGTGCAACTTAGTTTCTTTTCTTACACTGTAGGCTTGGTAAATTGTTCTTTAGCACCTATCTTATAGGCTGCCATCTTACAAACAACCACATAGTAAAATTAATTAAGCTATTAGTTACAGCAAGTAGGAAAGGAATAAAACATAGAAATTAGTATGATTAATTCAAAAATCAACAAAGTGGTCTAATAGCTTGATCTTTGTGTGTGACTGACATTTCTGACTTCTTGGACTCTGAAGTGATTGCAAAATCTTGCTTTGGTGTTTGAGAGCTCAATTGTAAGCTTGTTAGAGTTATAGAGAGCTTTTCTAGAGTCTTTTTGAATATTACAGACTCTGCAGAGTGTGTAGACAAAGTAGAAGTCTCTGACATTAGATCTTTTTGACAGATTTTCTGCACAGTCTTCTCTTTTTAAGTTTTTTTGTGCTGTGGAGCTCATTCTTTCTTTACTGTCTGTTTCAGAGCTTTATGTGTTTCTCTAGTATTCTTTTCAGTCTGTCTGCAAGCTGCAGCTGCAGCTTTATTCATCTCTTTTTCAAGTCTTTTTGCTAGTTATTTTTCTTCATAAATTGCACACTGCTCAGTGCACTCAGCAGTCTGATTTTCTCTTAATATAGTCAGTTAAAGTTTTTTTTATTTCTTCTGTATTCTTCTATTCTTCTTCTGCTCTTTTTCTATGATTTTGACTCTCATTTCTGCAATCTTTGAAGAGGAAAAGAATTGAGCTTTATCAGCTTGTTTAAGATCAAAAAGATTTAATACTTTGCCACACTGATAATGCTTCTTTTCAACTTTTAGAGCTGCAGCTAGACCATCTCTTTCAGTCTTTATAATTACTTTTTCCAGCACTATTTTCTCTAGAGCATGATAGACTTATCTATGCTCAGAGATGGCATTGACTCTCTTCAAATAGTCTAGTAGTCTGTCTACTTTCTGACATGTAGTAAATGTAGTAGACTCTAGAGCAGCTCTCTGAGTGTCTGAAGTCTTAAAATGTATAGATTTGAGCACTCTATTAGAGTCTAACAGTCAGATGTAGACTGACCACAGAAACAGAGATTTCCCAACTGAGATCCCATCCCTAATGCACTAATGAAAAATTGAGATGGGACTGGGAATTGATAGTTCAAACTGAGATGAGACTGAGACTTGAGTTTCAAGTACTGAGATGAGAATGAGACTTAATTTAAAGAGATTGGAATTATTTAATTAGAGATAGAGATCTCCAATTTCCCTAAACTTAAAATAAAATCTTATTTTATACTATTTTTAGTACCAAAATCATATACAAATGTATATATGCATTTTGACTTGATGTGCCAATTTTTCTATTTTGTCATATTTTGGTGTAAAAATACACTTTCAAAATAAAGTTTGAAAAAAAATTAAAGTTGTTTTAGGAATAGGGAAATCCAGAGATGGGACATAACATAGAAAATTTGAAACTGGGAAGGGAATGGGACTTGTTTTCATATTTTAGAATGGAATTGGGATCAATTTTCAAATTTTGGAAAGAGATTGGGATCAACTCAATTGGAATTAACATTCAGTCTTGTCCCATTGGGATTTCAAAGAGACTCCAACAGTCAGTCTAGTCAGATGTCAGCATCTGCAAATGTGAATAATATATTTTCTGATGTAAAAGCTGCTGCATATGTGGGTTTGAACAAGATGTAGAAATTTGATTTTGTCATTTTAATAAAGTCCATGTCTTACTGAAGAAAGTTGTTTAGTTTCTTTAAATAATAGTGCTGTATTGGTTCAAAAAGTTCAATATCTAGAGACTGTAAACAGTGTGTAGAGCTGAATGGAAGAATAAGCAGTAGAATCTTATTCTTATCAGCAAAATCAATGAACTGCATATTAATATGAGAGATGTGTTTATTCAGTATAAGTAGATGTCTACTCTGCTTGCTGTCTGCAGAATCAGCTTTGACTCTAGTCTCTTTATTGAATAATTTTAGTCAGCAGATCTCATATTCATCATTGATTCATTCATTTTCTGATGCAGTAAAGTAAGTTTGATTCTTTTCACAGTCAAAATCAGTGAGTTAAGTATCTTGCATGTCTCTAGAATCTCTCTTGTAAATGAGAGCTGATGTAGTGAAGAATTCATCAGCACAGATGCATGTAAATAGAGAGATGAACTTTCAGCTGTCATTCTGTACAGCACTCAATATTTCATCACACTTATAAGTTTGTAAAGAGACTACTCTTTTAAATGTATTTGCTAGTTCTATAATAAAGTCTTTTTCATTGAAATTGTAAATATTCACAGATTTAAGATTATATTTCTTGATTTTTTCTCAAAGCTATAGAAATTTGTATAGTTAGTCTTAACTCAGTGAAAATCAACATCAAATCAATAAAATCAAGAAATATTACTAGGTCAAAAAATGAAGAATAGTACATAGAATTGTCAGCAGCTTTTCTCTTTTGATCAATATTCTGTAGAAAAACACTGACAAGCTGATTTTCATGATGTTCAATAAAGTGAGAGACTCAGTTGAATTCTACATCATTTTGTAGAATTTCATTTGCTAGATTTCATAAAAGCTGAGGCATAGCAGAAAATTCACAGTTTGTAAGAGTGTCAATATGCTCTAGAAGAGCTTCTTTCTGTACATCTGTAAGATTTCTTGAATATAGAGAGACAGATTTGCATCTAGAGACTTGTATGTTCTTAAAGTGATGCACCAATGTAGTTACATTGATTTCATACTTTTTAACAGTTTTGGCATAATTAGAAGTCTTCTGCAAGTGCAGATCTTCAATTGCCAATTTAATAGCAGCTTTGTTGGTCATTTTATTGAATTTTGAAAGTAGAGGTCTATGGTAGAAAAATTGGTCACTTTGTGGGTTAGGTCGTTTGGTGATGAATTATGTTAGTTATTTGCCTAGTACAATAACTAGCCTTTTCGCATCCAAAACTGCATCAACACCTCACAATTGCGCACAGCCAAGTAGACAACAAACATGTCTAATGTCAATACTCAAAACGAGCCCTTTTATCTTCGCTACTAGTAAGATATAATCCTGTGGTTTCCCAGATTTCCTCAGCTGCTGACATATGCCGGCTAGCTCGGGGCACTCTGGGCGGTTTGGGCATGAGTTCTTAGGTGAGAAACCAATGCGAGCACACTGACAGCCCCCATTGGGCCAATTGCTTACCGGCTTAGAATTCGATTTCCGAACTGTAGGCGATGGCCGCAGTGCTGCTGTACGCTACGCGAACAATTCGAATTATCGAAATGACTCGTTAATTCGCAAAGAAAGTGAGCTAGGGTTCTTTCTGCGCCATGGATTGTTAAGCTAAACAGCTATCAGTGTGCGTGAGTTCTCTTATGATCTCAGAGCTCAAGCGAATTATTAAGGACAGCGAGATTTTAAAGTCGGCACCTAAATTCCCATATTTGCCGGAAACGTACCCCTTGCTAAGCCGCACATAGAGAAGATGACTCGAAATGGCCGCAGAAAAACAAAGACGGGCGCCAGGAATTAGAGATTAAGCTTGGAAGCGAACATATCTCGTTTGAGGTAGACTGCCTGTTTACTCTCGCGCGAATTTGGGAAACTGACTCCTATTTGCAACTAGACGGCGAAAATAGGGTCTCTTGTCGACGTGACCGAATCTGCGGACCCGGAGGGCTTACGGGTGTTTTATTATCTGGTACAAGATTTGAAAGCTTTTGTTTTCTCTTTGATCTCGCTGCATTTTAAAGTAAGTGCCGCGACAATGTCCTACGTGCCGAATGCCCTATTGAGCTATGATCGCTTTGCAGATTAAACCTATCTAGAGTGATAGTGTGATAGAAGACCATATTACTAGGGATGGTGGTTTGATGAATTGGTTTTATTTGGGGGGGGGGTTGAAAGTACAAGCACTGTTGGTAATTGTTCCGGGAATGCCTACAGACGAAACAAGCCATTGCTGGTAGTCCCAGCATTCCAAAGCGACAATGTGGGGGCGCGAGTCTACTCCGAGCTGTAACAACCAGAAGATACGGATGCTAGCGCTGGGCAGTATGTGTGTATATAGTATTTAGAAGAGGTCGTGATCAACGGGCCAGGGCCTCTGCTTCCCCGCAATACTCGCGGTTTACTTTTTAGTTTAGTTTGTTGACTTAACTAACTACGTGGGCCAACTAGAACCTTATGTACGGAGTAGTTAGTGCTGGCGACTTGAGCCATCCTTGTACACGACCTCACCACCGCCCTCAAATTCGCCTCCTCCTAGTTTACGACGAATACAGCTTGCAATGACTTTTTCGGACTCTTTAATGCGTTGAATACTTGTTTCTTTTTCTTCTTGTCTCGCTCTACAAACGGGCCTTGGTCTTTCTTGGTTGTCTCGCCGCTCGTTTGTCTGCTTGGCTCCAATCCGACGCAACCGCTTCATACATATATTCATCCAGCCCATATCGCCGACATTGCCTCTCATGCCGACTCCCAGTATCACATCTTCACAGCTGCCATCGCTCCCACTTGACTCATTGTCTGCGCGAGGAACATGCCCTCCTGAAATCGCCGACCGATCAGACAGCTGGAATATCTCTACAGATGATACGTTTCATAGTACCGCGTTGATTGCGGTGTCGGACCTACAGCCGGAGCTTGCAGCTTCCCTCCAGGATGCCCCTTCGATGGACCAACTTTCAATGCACGCTCTCAGCGATATAAAAGCGGAAAATGACGTTACAGTTGATCTCGCAAGTCCTACAGCCTCGGTATTAAGCCAGTCGACCCAGATCAAGGACGAACGACCCGGATCACCATCTCACATGTCATCCATATCTACTCCTTCCTATGTGACCTCGCTGAGCCGTGAATTCTCCAACATTAGGGTAATATGCTTGCAACTCTCTATTAGCAATGAATAATTTTCTTAACTGTCATCTTCATTAGCTCCTCCCTGACCATCCTTGTTCCTTCTTGCGGGCTGGTAGTAAGTTCGTTGGAACCCAGCAATCTGATCGTCAAGTCTATAATGTGGATGTGGAGATCAAAGACGTCAACATGGAAGAATCATTTCTTTGTGGTTATCTTCGTATTCAAGGTTGGTTGAATTGATCAACCCTCTTGTCTCTCCCGGGATTTAACTTTAAAATTTCTTTACTAGGTCTAACCGAAGACCATCCTACCCTTACAACATATTTTGAGGGTGAAATTATAGGCACCAAACACACATTCCAAACTCAGCACCATTCATGGGGTGCAACAGACAAAACCGACATGCACCACTGGGCACGTTTTCCCGCATGGCGACCTATCGCAAAGATCGCCAAAAAGCCCGATTTTACCTATAAGAACTTTGCACAAAGGGAGCATATTTTCATGAGGTGGAAGGAATACTTTCTGGTTCCTGACCACCGCGTGAGAACTATAAATGGTGCCAGCTTTGAAGGTTTTTACTACATTTGCTTTAATCAGGTCAAAGGAACTGTGAGTGGAATATACTTCCATGCAAAGAGTGAAAAGTACAGTTCTCTAATATCCCTTCTATCTTAATTTCACTAAGCATTTTTACAGGTACCAGCAGCTAGAGCTTAAACATGTTGAAAACCGAGGGTGTTTTGGCGCTATGGAATTTCGCTGAAAGCAGGACTTGCGGTCAACTTGATATTAGTTGCAGCTCATCGCCTGCCATCATGATTCACACGACCAACAGGCGAATAGTGGGGTTTGTTTTTTCCAGTACAAGATACTTCACACGCAACTATAATTCTATGGGATCTTTTTTTCCCTATCCCTTTTCTTTTTGATATGATATCCACCCGGTTTTTATTTTGTCGATACGTTGGTATACGATTTTTGATGCACCTGACTTCTGCCATGGTAAGATCCCCTCTCGGATATGCCCTCCCTTTTACCTAGGGCGCGAAAATTTGTCGATTGGAGCTTTGGTGTTCTATCTTGTATCTCGCCGTTGTTACAATTGTACCGGCTGGACACGCATCGTCCTCTTTGCTACTCCGTACATTGTTAATAATGAATTATGATTCCTTACTCCATGCAACATTCGCTATTTCTCATCGTCAGACTTGTGGCTGCTATCTGTATTGCCAGATTATTTTCAAATGTGATCATTATTGACTTATGTGGTTGCCCATTACCATGCCGTGTTGGCAATTATATACAAGTAGAACAAATACAAGGACGGGTGGGCTTCTTTGATGCCCTACTATTGTCGAGAATGTGTAGATCGGATGGCAATACGCGACTTCGGTACAAAGTTGGGTTAGTATAAAGATTAAAAGGGGGACAAATGTCGAAGGTCTGTACAGACTCAATGATGAACGTTGTGTAGGACAGATAAGGAGCTACCGGACAATATCTTCGCTCCAGGCCAGGGTAAGAAATCAAAACATGCTTGAATTCTGCCGACTGGTGACCGAACTTGACGACTGGCTTCCACTCTCACTGATAGGCGTCTGTGGTTCAGCAACAACCTGTTGCCTTATAGTGACAATCCACTCATGTTGTAACAGTTCAACCGCACTTGGTCTTTTGGCAGGATCGATTTCAAAACATCGCTTAACGAAATCAATGCCCATTTCGCTCAATTGGTCCGGCGTTGGAAGGTGAGGCTGATTCCCTTGGGCAATTTTGTACATGATGGCCCATTCGTTATCAATTCCGGACCATGGGCGTAAGCCGGTGGCCATTTCCAAAATCACGCAACCCAGGGACCAGATATCCATAGAACCGTGGCGACCACCAGAATGGCCGATTTCTCCCCGAACGAGCTCCGGTGACATATACATGGGAGTACCTGTCACAGACTTTTGATTTTTTCGTTGACTATGGGTGTCTTTGGCTATGCCGCTTGCATCTTTGTAATTTCCACCGTAGTGATCCATAGCAGCCAGTGTTTTCCCTTGCCGTGCAATAATCATCGCTGCCCCAAAGTCCACATATTTAATCACGCCATTATGATCCAGAAGAATATTAGCAGGTTTGATATCCCGGTGAACAATGCCGGCCTGATGTAAATATGCCAGACCCTCAAGTAACTGAAGAGCATAGACCATTATGACAGTTTCATCCTCGATTCTACCATGTTCAAGCAACGTGGCCAAGGATCCACCAGAGCAGTATTCCATAAAAATATAAACTTTATCACGATGGACTTCAATTCCGCGATAAGAAACAACGTTTGGGTGATCGAGTACTTCAAGAACCGCCATTTCGTCTCGAATCTGTTGAGCGGCACCTGGTATTACTGAAGGTTCTTGAAGTTTGATTTCCTTAACCGCCATCAAGTAGCTTGTATCAAGATCAATCGCAGCGTAGACCGAACCTGAGGTGCCTCCTCCAATAAACTGACCTTGCTGCCACCGTAATGTGACGTTCGTTGCCGATGATGATAACACTGTGAGAGACCGATCCGCTTCGTTGACGCCTTCAAGCACTCTGCCAAGTGGCCGCCGCTTACCGTCAGACTCCAATCTGAACTGCTCAAGCTCACCAATGCGCAAGCATCGCAACTCATGCACTGCCTGGGCTGCGTCTGCGTCGCTTAAAGCTCTACTTAAATCAAGTTTTCCGAAGCCTAGTTGTTGTTTCTCTGCCTTAGCAGCTAAAGTCGATCGGGCACCCATGATGTCGAAGTGAGAAATTAATGTCGACATACAGCCCGCGACTTTGACACGTAGCAAATGATAATCTTCATCGCAAAGAGAGGTAATGCTATGCCCGTGGGTTATGACCATAGCAAACTCCAGGGCTGCAACAGCCCACTTGAAGGTTTTCCGATCAGCAGCATCACAATCATCACAAACAAAGGAAACCCAGTCAAGTGCTAGCCTTACCAATTTACTATGATTTGTTGAGCGTCGAGTTGGCTCCATATACATTAGGGATCGCTTGCCAAACTCAGTGGCAAAGGCGTAGCAAGACTGAATTAGCTCCTGGTTTCCAGAACCCTGGTTTTGCTTTCTAATAATCTCCACGCTATCGATAATGGTGTTTGAGAGTTTCCAAGCGGTCTTTTGGATTTTATTCAGTTCGAGATTCACTCGCCCAAGATTAGCCCGTTCACCAACTGTGACATCGAACTCCAACCCGGTCAATCGAGTAAGTTCCGTTCTGGCGTCTTGAAGGCGCTGCTGGGAACCGTCGGCTACAAGTCGTAATTTTCCAAGCCGAACATCCGTCGGGTGCTCTAAAAGATCAACTTCCATCCTTTTTCCGTTCCAGGGGAAAGGGCGTATAGCACGAATTACTAAAATATATGGATTCGAGGGGTCTTCTGGAACATCATCGGCTCGAAAAGATGTTCCAAGAATTGACTGAATATCTTTCGGTCGCCCATATAAAGAAGGAGAGGCAATTAAGCACACCCCCTTTTGACCTACGGAGTCCACAGATGTGACAATAAAATGACCAGATGCCAATAGTGCCTCGGAGAACGTGTCAATTATTTCTTCCTTTAGTTGAAACTCCGTTGCATTTTCAAATCGCTGACGAAGAAATCGAGAAAACCGGAACAGTTTTCTCTGTCGCACTCGAACAGAATCAAGAATTTGCTTATATCGCTTTTCTGACTCGACGGCGTCTTCTTCAGGCTTGCTAAGAAGCTCACGTTCGAAATGAAGCATCAGCCGCTGCAGAGCTTTAGCCGTCAAAGTACTTGAGAGCCCGGTTAGACTAATCCTGTACCGTGAAAGAGCGGTAACTGTACCTGAATTGCTCTGCAACTTCAATATCTCCACCTTCAAGCTGACGGCCAATTTCATTGGAAAAATCCCATTCCTGTTCAAGAATTTCAGCTTCTTTAAACGTGTTTTTATTGGCACTTAGCTTCCAGTTCAGAAGCTTGAAATAGTATTTTAAAGCATCAACAACGACAGTGTCAAAATTTTCCTCGAAACATGGCGGGAGCTCCCACCCAGGCTCTGGTTCAGAGACAATCAAGTACCTTTGCTTAATTTCGACAGCAATCTTCATTAAAATTTGGAACTGCACAATCATCTGATCAAGCAACATGGGTGACTGTTGTCCGGGATCCTTCATCTTCTTGGCATATGAAAGGCGGACACGAATAACTTCCAAAATGAGACGAGATGGAAAACTGATCAAGATGAGTAATTCCTCGATATAAGGCGGTAAGTGTCGCTCTGCGAATGCTTCGGAATTCCGAATTAGAGTACTTTTAGCCTTTCTGATGACTTCGCCAATCCCGTCTAGCATACTATTCTTCCTGGTGCGCCCTTTTGCATCTACCACAATGCCATCCCCCTGAAGGGATTTGAGACCATCCTCTTTCATAATGCGATCAAGGAAAGATCCTTCGTCTGCAAGATCCGCGGCGTGAGACGGCCTCATTAGCGGTAAATTAAAATTCAATTCCTCGTTGCCGACCCATCTCTGAAGAATGGCAAACTGAGTATTGATGAGCTGTGTGGTATTGTGCCATGATATAACTGCATCGCAACTGGCAATAAATTCTGCGGATCCTGCACGTTTATGATGAATGGCAAGTTCGCGCCTGGCTGAATATAAGCTCTCAACTTTCTCAATTTTTGCGACTATATCTTCAACTTGGTCCAAGGGTGGCTTTCCAATTTCTGCCTCGCCTTTGATTTTGAATGAAACAATTTCTTCGAGTACCGGAGCGACAAGAGATCTTTCGTACTCTAGGATCTTTTTTTGCAGAGCTTCTGGTCGGCCGCAAGATCTTGCCCGGATTCCTATCCAAACCTCATCATTTATGTCGCTGAGACTCTTGGGCTCACCGGTTCCAATCAAACGTCGTTTTTCTTGCTTAATGACATCTCCCTTCAATACGGACGCCAACATAGAATGCCATTCCAATTTCTCCCGAATTTTCGGGTTTTGGAGCTCTTCCAGGGTGGGTTGTACGTTATCATTCTCCAATACCAAGTGTGCTTCAGCATCGTCAGGGTCATTATCAAACTGAGCTTCCGATGAAGGTGATTCGTCCTCTAAATCCAAATCGATATCTGGTAGACCTGGTATTTGTGTATTAGAATTAAACCATTCATTCGGCGGCCCTTGCCTCACTCTCTGAACGTAGGCTTTTTCTTGGGCACGGTACTGTGCGTTAGGATCTCGTCGGGCGGGTCGTTTGGCCGCATAGGGGAGCTGGCCGCTCGAGTGTATAGAGAATTGTGGAGGTCTGCGCGGCGGTGCATATGTATTGGAAGGTGTTCTTGCTGGACCGTTCGGTCGCTGCGGCCGGAGTTCACGATCAGACATGTCGGATGAAATTTGTCTTTCAAGAATAGGGGCCGAGCCTCCCCCACTACCACTGCGGGCGTGCCTGGGTACTTCCGGGGACCATTGAGAATACCCTAGAGGGGGTGGGAGAATTGGCGGATTTCGATACCCTGGACTTGTTGGATTGACGCCCGGTACCGAAGAGGTTGTCAAAGGCACATCTTGCGAGTCATCGAGGTCCTGGATATCGTTATCGGAGTCGTGCCGTGCAGGAAGGGCGAACGGAGGATGGGACGAGTAATACTCGGAGGCTGTTGAAGATTCTGGATCGTGTAGGGAAGATCTCCGACGCTCCATAGTCCGTTAGTTTGCAGCAGGGCCATCACCGTATCATTGGCAGCGAGTCTGGACTTCTTCTTGACGGGACGCTCGTTAGTTTGCAGGGACCCCAATCATGTGGAGATTTATCAGACGACACATTAACACGTGATGATCATGTGTCTGGGAGTCTATACCATAACGTAATTCCTCACCGAACGCCCGATCTCACCCAACGACAGCTTCTGTTGAGCAGGAGTCAGGTGACTTGTCAGGTGACCAGGTCCCTGAAGGAGGAACTGGAGAACTGTAGGCTTGCCATCTTCTCTTCTCAACCACAGTACCAATTTCATTATCTTTATCTATCAGGCTGGTGGAGGTTTGCTAGGGTTTTTCATATGTTTTTCCCATAGCCTCAGTTATAGTATGTTCATCTATAAGTATTTATATCTTGTTCATTAGAAGCAGATCAGATGCAATATTATGAACACTCAGTCACATGATCATTACATGCTTCTGTGTCATTCAATAGTTATGAGTCTGAACTCTTTCAAGAATTTGATTATTATCTAAAGATATGTTCAAGATACTTTATTTTACTCTTGTTACTCTTCTAAATAGAAATCATTATTAAGTATTTTGAGATCATACATTGAACTCTCTATTTAAGCTTAAATCTTAATTGCAGAGTTCATGAAGATCTAACACATTTATATTTTACTAATTTAAGTCTATGGAAAATCATAATCTAGAGTCAATGTCTCAACTTCAATAATTAATTAAAAATGAACAAATTATCTAGAAGAGTTGTTATGCTGAATAGTTCTGATAACTGAGAAGAATGAATTAAAGACATTAAGTATTTAGCAAATCTTCACTGATTGTGATTGTACATTGATCTGATAAAAAAAATGCATTCTGAACTTTAAGAATCTGTTATAGAGAATTTTCTTTCTTCTGAAAAAACTGAAGAAACTGTAAAAAAGAACATCTGAAAGCTATAGATGCTAGAAATGTGATGAATGCTTCTTAATTGAAAGCTAGACTAGTAGAGAGATTCAAAATTCTAGAAAATGAGTCAAAGAATTAAGTGATTGAAGCATTAAATTAAGCTATCATGTACAATATGTGTGAATATATCTGTGAGTCTTTTGTCTTCAAACAATTTCTGAGAGCAATCTCTCAGAATTACAGAGAGTTCTTCTATTTATATCTATCAAAGCTTCTAATCAAAGAGAATTTGAAGAAGAAGCATGAGCTGGATGTTTATAGACATATTTAAATATTTTGACAGACATTAAAGAAGAATACTGAGCCAGATCAACAGAATAAGTCATCAGCATATTTCACCAAAAAGATAGTTCAAAATAAGCTGTTGGAGAAGAATAATGAAAATACAAACTTAACATGTCTTTGCAGAGAGCAACATGATTGAGCATACTGTTCATATTTTAATTCACTTGTTCAATCAATGAGCTGGAAACTGAATCCAAAAATTGATAATAAGATCAAGAAAGTATTGAAGAATTCAGTGAACAAAAGAAAATTAAAGAAGAAGATTGCAAATTGAAAGAAATTGAAGAATTTAAATACTAATGAAGAAGTTGATGCTTCAGATGATGTGACAGATAATGATGCTAACAAAGTCATTGTTAAGACATCTTCTAATTCAACTATCTTTGCTTTCATAACAGTTTTTAACTTCATTAACATGAGTGACAAATATGAACTCTACTCACTATGAAATAGTTTCATATTAGATGAAGGTGCAGATGCAAATATTTACAATGACTTTACAAGATTTCAAAACTACTGAGATGCTGATTCTTTGAATATTGTGCTCATTGAAAATACTTATTGTAAAATTCATGAATATGATGATGTTAAAGTTTATATTTAAATGCTGGCAGATGCTGACAAAATATTACTACAGAACATTCTCTACATTTCTGACTTTCATATAAATTTAGTAGCACACAGATTGCTGTGTGCCAAGAGTTGTTATTTAAATGATGAGTCTCTTACAGTTTACTACACTGACACAGAAGATATCTTGTTCAATTTAACTGTTACAGAGAGAAAAATGATCATGAAATATAGATCTATTAATGTTGCAACAGACAGTATAATGAAGAGTGTCTTTACTGTCTTGTTAAGCAGAGATTCAGTTAAAAAACTAATGACAGTGTTAATTTTTAGTTTACTAGAAACAATGAATATTTGGCATTTAAGACTTAATCATCTAGAAAGAGAGTCTCTGACTCATCTTCTAAAAATGTCTACTGATGTGAAATTTGAAAAGATTTCTTGAGATTCTCTAACAGTGAAGTGTAAGTCTTGCACTCTTTCAAAAGCAAAATAAATTATATGCAGAACATCATTGAAAAGATCTATATGCTCATTTATGAAGATGTCTATTGATCTCATACAGTTTGCTTGAGATTATAATGAAGATAGATGGATGATTCACTTATATTGTGATTATACTCATCTGCACTATGTGGAAACAATGCAGCAAAAATTCAAAAGTTTGATGTGCACAGTAAAAATGATAAGAGTAATTCTCAATTTATATCAATTGACTATCTTGACTATTTAAATTGACAGAGAAATCTCTATGCAGTCAGAACTGACAGCATTGACTCAAACATATTATTATTATTATTATTATTCATTATAGTCTTGTGCAGTCTGAGACTATGAAGACTAGCTGCAAGCTGTCTTGCAGAATTTAACTAAGTTACAAAAACAATGATCAGAGTGAAATCTTCAGCAAGAACAATACTATCTGATTGAGCCAATATCATGCAGCACTTGATATGGAACACCATCAATTCTAAGTCAAATTTAATGAAAATATATTCATTGAAAAGCTCTTGTTTCATTCAGTTATTCTCTCCATTTTCATCCAGCAATTCACTGTGGTGGGTGGGAAATCTCACATCAAAGACTGGGTCATCAGTTTTGGCTACTCAGACACTTTGTCTGATCATCACAACACAATCATCTTCACTACAGCTCTGAAACATTGGAAATTAATTTCTTTTGTGTTAAAGAATCTATATTCAAGAGGAAAATACTTGCATTCTCAAACTGATTAAGAATTCACTCAGTTTTGGTGGCTCTCCATCAGTCTTTCACAGTGAAAAGTTTTTGTGTTCCTGGCTTACTAAGCCTTAACCAGCAACACCAAAGCTGAATTGAAGTCTGAACTTACATAATTATTCCACCAAACTCTATTATACCCCATCAAAGTGATACAACTGCAGAACACAGCCAAAATTTCAGCAGAACGTAGAAATTTAATCACAACTCCACCAAAACAAGATCTTTTTAAATTCAGTTGAATATCTCTGATTTTCTGATCAATTCTCTATCTCTCTGATATTCTATCAATTTCCTCCAGCCCTGATTTTCACTTCTGAAAAGTCAAAACCATTTGCCAGTTGGGGTCAGCAAAGATAAATTCAACCACAACTCAGTCAAAACAAGATTTCTTCAAAATTGATTTGATATCTCTGATTCTCTGATCAATTCTCTATCTTTCTGATATCCTATCAATTTTCTCCAGCCCCAATTTTCACTTCCAAAAAGTCAGAACCATTGGCCAGTTGGGGTCAGCAAAGATAAATTCAACCACAACTTAAACAAAACAACTTTTCTCTCTTTCTTATTTGTTTCAAAGACATAGACTCTCCCAGTCACTGATCCCTGCATCCATCAGCTAGTGATGGTTAAAATTGCTCTTTTATAGTTAGAATAATCATACTAGACTTGTTGATTTTCTAGCAAAGAAGAAGACTTTTTATTTGCATATCATAACAGTTTCTTTCAGTTCTTCTGCAGTTGGAATTTGACTTTGCCTTGAGATACATTAGTGTCTTGCAAAGAAGAATTAGAATTGTAATCTGAGATTGAAAAAGAACTGAGTTATCTTAAATTTTAGATAGTGATTCTGAGATTCTGATAAAGTTGCTTATCACTCTTCAAAAAGACAAGAAGAGGTTTTTTCCTGGACTTGACTTCTCAGATAGACAGAAACAGCACATAAATCATTCATTTTCTGTGATCAACATAAGATATGGAAACTAAAGTTACACTCTTGAAGTGTGAGACTAGTTGATATATTGAACTGAGATTATAAGTGGTTTACTTAAGTCTTCTCTATCAAAAAGACTTTCAGTTTGACAATTCTCTTGAAAAATTGTTAGTGAGTTCTCTTATTTAAGTACACTTACTCATCTGGCTCCACAAATTTTCTTTTGTTATCTTACATCATTCCCTCCAGTTCCAGAGTAATCTTAAAATAAACTGCTCTAATAGTTCAGGAATGCACCATCTATTACTGCTATTTTTGTTCAGAGAATTTTGAAAACTTTGGCTTTTTCTTGACTGATTTCTGCCAAAACTTAGTCTTAGTTTCCCTGTTCTCTTGAAAAACTGGGATTAGTTTTTGGGAGATTTCTATTCTGGGAGGAAAAAATCTCTCTAGATAAGTTTTCAACTGAAATAAATCAAAATGTTCTCTATCTCCACTTCTCTCTCTCTGAATTCTGAACAAGAACTTAAATCAGTTCTCAAAGTTCTTGCACAAAAATGTCAGAAAGAAAATCATGTTCTTGTTCAAAAAGAATTAAACTCTTGCATTCTCAGTCTTCAAAAGATTCTCTTCTTTCAAAAGGAAAAAGATATTTCCTGTTTTCAGTTTGAAAATGACAATGACAAGCTGAATCTTTTGGAAAAGAGACTCAAAAAGTTGAAAAATCTGTCTAGAAGTTCAGAATCTTCAGTTTCTTCTTCAAATTTTATCTCTTCTGTGTCTTTTCTGCCTTCTGTGACTGTGAATACAATTTCAGAGAAATTAAGTGCTGGATGTAAATTCAGTTACTCTGAAGCTGTTAAGCAAAATCTACAAAAACAGTCAACAGTCTCTTCCTCTTCAACTTGTACTTCTGAGACTGGGAAATCAAAGTCTGGTTTGAGAAACCCAAGAGAAAACAGACTGATTTTTAGAGTCAATTCTGAAATTGCTGAAAGAA